GGATGGGAAGGTGGAACTGGGAATATTCTGTAAGGTTGGGTTTATTTTACATTATTTCTTTTATGTAGTATCCCAAAGGGTCATATCTATAGCTCTTTGCTTAACCCAAAATCACAAATATATTCTCCTATGAATTCTTCTGAAAGTTTTAATGTATTAGGTTTTGCATTAAAGTCTATGATCCATCCTGAGTTCATTTTTGTATGTGTTATAAAATACAAAATAAGGTTCATTTTGTTTTATGTTTTGCATATAGCTATCCAAATGTGCTAGCAACATTTATTGAAAATATTATCCTTTTTCAATTGAATTACCTTTGAACTTTTATTTAAAATCAATTGACTATATATATGTGAGTCCATTTTGGGGTACTATGTTGATCTATTTCTGTAACTTTTTACCAATACCACAGTGTCTTGAAAAATATAGTTGTATATTAATTCACTAACATCTTTCTTTTTCAAAATTGTTTTGACTATTCTACTTTGTTTGCTTTTCCATATAGATTTTTAACTAGATTACCAAGTTTCGCAAAATATCTTGGTAATATTTGGAGTTCTATTACATAAAAACTATAATTCACTTTGGGAAAAATTGATAATTCAATAATAATGTGTCTTCCAATCCACAAATGTGGTACAGTTCTCCACTATTTTAGTCCTTTCTTGAATTCTTTTATCTGGATTTTGTAATTTTCTGACTGCAGATCTTGTGTATATTGTATTAGATTTTTGTGTTTTGAGGGACCTATTGTAAATATTACATTATCAAAATTCAATTTCTCATTGTTATAAAATTTGTAAATGTGATTAGTTTTTGTATATTGGACTTGCAGCCTGAAATCTTGCTAAATTCTCTTACCATCCATAATAGCATAATTTTTTAATAAAGTCTTCGGGATTTTCTGCATAGAAATTTGCTATAAAGGAATATCTGTAAATAGTTCTTTTTCACATCTAGTATATAATCTGTCTCTTTTTCTGTTTCTGTCTCTCTGTGTCCCTGTCTGTTTATATCTCTCTGTTGCTCCCTCCCTCTCTTCGTTTCCCCCTCCCTTTTTCCCTCTTCTTCCTGATTTCACTAGCTGAAATCTTCAGGAGTGGAAGTGCAGACATTCTAGTGTAATTCCCAGTCTTAGGGAGAAATAATTCTGTCTGTTGCTATTATGTGTCAAGTTACCTATAGGGGTTTTGTAGATGGAGGAAATTCTCTTCCCAGTTTGTTGAGAGTTTCTGCCGTGGATGGGCATAAATTTTTTTCAAGTGTATTTTCTGTATCTATTGCAAAGATTACATGGTTTTTATTTTTTCTTTTCTCAATTTTTTCTTTTCTCTCCCTTTTCCCCCCTACCCTTTCACAGTTTTCCTTTCCTTTTGAACAGATTCTTCCTATTTCATATTATTTATTATACACTTTGGTGCCTATTTACCCTTTCAGTTTCTCACATCAGAGAAACAATGCAATATTTACACATTTGTGTTTGATTTATTTTACTTAAGAGTATAGTCTCAAGTTGCATCCATTTAGCTATAAATGTCTCGTTTATGTCTGAGTAATACTCCATTGTATAAAAAAACACGTTTTTTATCCATTCATTGGTTGATGGGCATTTGGGTTATTTCCAAGATTCAGCTATTACAAATTGTGCTGCTATAAACATGGGTACACGTATATTGCTGTGATATGATTCTTTTAATTCTTTTGGGATGATACCCAGTAGGGGAATAGCTAGGTCAAATGGGACCTCTAATCCTAATTTGTTGAAGTATCTCCACACTGATTTCTACGATGCTTGCACCAGTCTACACTCTAACCAACAGTGGAGAATGGTTCCTTTTTCCCCACAGCCTCACCAGCATTTGTTGTTGGTTGATTTCTTGATAATAGCCATTCTTTCTAGAGAGAGATATTATCTCAGCATTGTTTTAATTCATGTCTCTCAGATGATCAGTGGTGCTGAATATATTTTTCATATATTTATTTGCTAGTTCGACTTCTTCATTTGAGAGGTGTGTTTTCATTTCAGATGCCCATTTTTGGTTGGATCTTTAAATTTGAGGGGTCTGATTTATTTCAATTCTTTGTGTGTTCTGGATATTAGTCCTTTATCTGAGGGACTACTGACTAAAATTTTTTCCCACTCTGTGGGTTGTCTCTTCACTCTATGGTGATTTCTTTTACAGTGCAAAAGCTTTTTAATTGGAAGAGATCCCAGTTGTTGATTCTTTGCACTATTTCTCATGCGGTCTTGATTTTGTTCATGAAGTCGTTGCCTACTCCTATATCCTCAGGAGTTCTACCTATTATTCTCTCTTCCAGCAGATTCAGTGTTTCTGTTTTAATATTTAGACCTTTGATCCATTTTGATTTTATTTTTGTGTATGGTGAGAGACATGGGTCTAGTTTTAATCTTTGGCAAGTAGAAAGCCAGTTTTTCCAGCACCAGTAATCAGAGAGGCTATCTTTCCTCCAGTAAACATGTTTGGCCCCTTTGTCAAAGATAAGGTGGCTGAGTGTGTTTGGAGTTGTTTCTGCCTCTTCTGGTCTGTTCCATTGATCCTAAGGTCTGCCTTTTTTTTTTTTTTTACTAGTACCATGCTGTTTTTATAACAGTAGCTCTGTAGTATAAATTCAGGTCAGGAATTGTGGTGCCCCCTGCCTTGCCTTTGTTGCCCAGAATTGATTTTGCTATTTTAGGTTTCTTCTGGTTCTAAATGAATTTTAGGAATGATTTCTCTAGTTCTGTGAGGTATGCTAATAGTATTTTGATTGGAATTGCATTAAATCTGTGTAACACTTTTGGGGGTATGGCCATTTTAACTATGTTGGTTCTTCCTACTCAGGAGCAAGGGACTATCTTTCCATCTTCTGATATCCTCTTTGATCTCCCTTTTCAGAGTACTGTAATTTTCAATGTATAGCTCCTTTTTTCCTTTGTTAGAATGATCCCTAAGTATTTCATTTTTTCTGTGCTATTGTGAAATCTGTTGTTTCCCTAATTCCATTCTCAGTGAGTTTGTTATTTGTGTACAGGAATGCTATTGGTTTTTGAGTGTGGACTTTGTATCCAGTTACACTACTGAATTTGGCTATTAAATATAGAAGTTTTTTGGTGGAGTGTTTGGTGTCTTCTATGTAGAGAATCATTTCACCTGCAAATAATGATAACAACTTCTTCAATTCCCATCTTTATTCCTTTTATTTCTTTTTCTTCTCTAATTGCTCTGGCTAATATTTTCTGTGGACCATTTATATTTTATCACCATGTTAAAAGTGGTTGCTTTCTCATACTGCAATTATGTACACTATTTCTTTCCTATTTGTGCTCATATGATTTTGTTTTTTTTGTATTTGTGTAATTTTCCAATTTTCTACGTTAAGCATGCATCACCTTTCTAATTAGCAACTCATGTAGAGTAACACTTTACATTGTAGAGGACTTTATAGTTTTAAAAGAGTTCCACTTAGTCCTCCAACATTTGACTGAGAAATATAATCCATATTTCATAAATATTGCAAACTGAAATTGATAGTCTAAGTGAGTTGCTCAGTATTACACAACTATAGCTAATAAGGACTCAAATGCAGATTTTCTGTCTACCAATTTATTTTTCTGAAGAAGCTGGAAGCAAAGGCCTGAAAAATAAATTTGAATTCATCTTGTGGGTAGTGGGAAAGAATCATAGAAGATCTTTAAAGCAGTAAGTGACATAATATATTTATATTGGTGTAGTAGTTTTAATTTGATTACTAGTGAGGTTAAACATCTTCTCACATCCATTTATTGTTCTAATTTCTTCTGTGAATTACTTGTTCATATTCTTAGATAATTTTACTATTGGATTTGTTGGTCTTCTGCTCGTTGATTTGAATTATTAAAAATGTTTCAATACCAATGCCTTGTTTATTATTTATTGAATATATCTTCTCTCAGTTTCATGCTTATTTGTCTTTTCTTTTTTCTTTTTATTTAAATGATCAGAGAAATTTATACAGGAGTGAGGAAAATTAATGTATTTGGTATGAGAAGAATATGGTTTATTTTGACCTTGTATGAGGGCAAGCAGGAGTTAGAAGAATAGGGTAAGAAGATAAACTACTTGACTTGGAAATTCAATTTATCAATCAGTTATCATTTGCTTATATTTACTAGCTATAGTGTGCTAAGACATATTATGGATATACAGAAAAGAAAAAAAATGTTACCTATTTTTGAGGACCTTGACTGAAAAAACATGTAAATAAGACAAGTAACATGGTATGTACTCAACTGGTATGAAACAAGATGAGCTGTTGGTTCCTGAAATTTCTGTTTTAAGAAAGGGAAAGACGTGGTTTGAGTTAATTTGGAGTGTTTCATGGGACAGGAAGTCTGTAAGTTGAATGGGAGAAGGGACTGTGTGTAGAAATTTTTACCTTTATTTTTTATCTTTAGCAATTAGAATAGTGCTTGACCAACAGGAAGCACTCAAGTATTTGTTCAATGATTGAATGATGTTAATATGTGCAGACAGAGCCATTTATAGAGTCATAACAAATTCTATAGTCTGTTGCTTCTATACCACTGCTAAGTAGCTCTGAGAATGTTGTGATACATTCATATTTTAGGCATTAGTTTGTATTTCAAAAGAAAAAGAACACAGCCATTAAAGAAAAGATACATTATCTTACTATTGTAACAGAGCAGTAAAGATTTTGCCCTCAACTGTCAAACAAACCTGGATTTGATTCCCTTCTCAGCTAATTGTGGTTATATGACTCTTGATTTCCTTCCTCTATGAAATAAATCAATAGTAGTACCTATCTTATGTGTCTTTGTAAGGATTGAGTAAGCAGTATTTGTAAAACAAGAAGCCAGTAGTAAGGATTCTATAAATACTCTTTATCCCTTTTCTCTTGGTGTACGTATACTGAAACGGTGAAATCTGTGATTGCCTTTGGATTTTTGTGACTTGGTCTATGATTTCTAACAGACATATTCTCCATTTCCTTCCTCACAGATTCAGAGACATACTGTATGTTTCAAGATAAGAAGTACAGAGTGGGTGAGAGATGGCATCCTTACCTGGAACCTTATGGGTTGGTTTACTGTGTGAATTGCATCTGCTCAGAGGTATAGTTCCTCATAGCATCCAATATTCCAGTTTGTTCCTCAGCATGGAGAGACACTTGCAATGTCTAGGTATCCAGAGAACATGGGTGAAAAGGCATAAAAGAAATTAAGAAGCTGGTTGTAAGGAAAAAGAAACATCCCCTGTCTTTTTTCCTCTGTTGCTTTTGGCTCAATTTTCATGGTATCTCTGCGTATTTGCTATGTACTGATACCTACTGTGTTTTAGTCCAGTCATATAGGACACGGTGGGAGAAGGCAAAAGAGCTCAGTATTTGGAAGAAACTCAATATAATGCTTATATTGCAAGACACAGTAGTTTTTGGAAACCATTTCCAAGCCTGCCCATTGGCGAGATTAAGTCATATTATAAACGCATTCATTGGGAGAGTATATTTTAAGTTGTCTCAGCCAATAACTTTAATTAAGACTAGGGTCCAGAAACCTTGGACCATACCTTGTGAGGATTAGAGTTCTCTTACCTTTGCCTTGGCTCCTATCCAGTATCTCAAAGAGTAACTTAGATGTCATCTTTGCAGTAAAGCAGGTAGTTCCATTTTCTTTCCATAGCTTTGGCTCAAGACCACAGCTGTTGTCTTTCTTTTTGAATATGCTTCTAACATCATATTAGGCCATGGTTTCTAAACTTTGTACTATTGACCTTTGGGGGCAGATATTCTTTTTTCTGATAGGGGTTTTCCTGTGCATTGTAGGGTATTTAGCAGCATCTCTATCTTCTAGCCACTAGGTGACAGTGGCACCAACCACAGTTGGGGCAGCCAAAAATGTTCCCAGATGTGGTTAAATTTCTTCAGGGTCATAATCACCACTGCAAAATGCAACACCAAGAACCTCTGCATTAAGACAATTGGGAGGGAAATCCTTTTACTAATCCTTTAGAATTGAGAATTCTGAACACATAAAAAGAATGTCTTAGACCAACTCTTAACTGTATCCTTGTGTAAGGACTACAACCCCTTCTTCATGCCCAGTCAAAGCAGGACTAGTGACCTACAAGCTTGATCCTTTTGCCATTTGAGCAGAATTTTGGGCTTTCAGAATTTTGAGCATGTGGAAATGTAGCCTTCAGGTAATATCAGGAGGTATTAAGAGTCTACAGATTTCTAAAATTAAGACAGACCAAGTTTCTGACCTTGATTTTGTCACCTATGAGCCATGTTATATTGAACAGATTATCTAACCTCTCTTGGATCGCTTCAGCTTCCTTTCTTTAAAATGAAAAATGATATTACCTATTTGATAGGGTTGTGGTAAGGATTCATTTCACCAATAAATTTAAATTACTTAAAACAGTGTTTGGTCATGGTAAATTTTCGAGATATGTTAGCTACTATTATTATCGTAATTGTCATCAATATCATTATTATTATTAGTCTCTTTTTTTAATTGTTTTTCCCATTAAGTTTATTGGTACATTTTAGGTATAAAATACAGGTACATTCATCATTGGGATCTTGTACCATTACATGAGTATCTTGGTTCTT